TAAATCAATGGAACTGTTGCTGACAGTGGTGACTTACTTTTTAAACCAAGGCCAAGGAGCAGTAAGCAGGCTATTGTTTTTATACAGTCAATGCTGCTCAATTTCTGTCTGTCTATCTCTCTCGCTTTCTCTCTCTCTCTCTCTCTCTATATATATATATACATATACATAATATATATATATACATACACATAATATATATATATATATATATATATATTATAATTGTCCTCATTAGTTTCCTTTTCCAAGTACTTGTTAATATCAGTGGATACCCATCTTAACCCTATGAACAAGAATTCTCAGTCTCCATGTTACGTAACCATAATAATGATTATGGTGTCATTTATTTAGTACCATGTGCCAAGTACTTTATATGCATTTTCTCATTTAATCCCTGCAATCCTGTGAGATAAGTGGTTTACAGATGGAGAAAATGAGCTCAGTATGATTAAGTAATTTGCTCGAAGTCACACACACAGAAAACGGTCTAAGAGATTCAAATCCAGGTCTGTCTCCAAAGTCTGTGCTTTTAAAAATTACTAGTTTTCTAATATCATAGTCCAGTTCAAAACAGAGATCATTGTCTCTACCTTGGCCACTCAGAAAGTAAAGCTACCTTAAATCTATCCCTTGTTATGATACAGAAGAAACTACGATTCTTTTTATTTGATTCTTCCTCTTTGCACAAGAGCAGTTTTTTTGTGTTTTTGTAGGGAGACCATGTAATGGATGAGAATCTCAAGGGAAGGTATGTTGGGTTATTTTAAAATCTATTGCATTTACAACGCTCTCAGAAAACTAGAAATACAGAGGGATTGTTCTCCATTTGATAAAGAACATCGACAAAAAACCCTACAGTTAATATCATATTTAATGATGAAAGACTGAATGCTTTTCCCCTAAAATCAGGAACAAGGCAAATATAAAGATTTATACTGCTCTTAAGCAACAGAGTGCTAGAAGTCCCAGCCAATGCAATATCTCAAGAAAAGAAAATTAAAAGTATACAGATCAAAAAGGTAAAAATAAAACTGTTTCAGTTTGTAGATAACATGGTAACATCCTAAGAAAGTGACAAAAAAAACTTCTAGAAAGTTCAGTTAAGGTTGCAAGATACCATATACGCATACAAAAATCAATTATGTTTCTATATACTGGCAATGAACGATGGCCACTGAAATTTAAAGTGTAATACTATTTACCGTCACAAACAAAAAAGGAGAAATTAAGTACTTATGTATAAATTCAGCAAAACATGTAGCTGAAAGCTACAAAGTATTCATGAAAGAAATCAAAGACAACCTAAATCAACACAGAAACATACCGTGTTCATGGATTGAAAAACAACATAGTAAATACATAAATTCTCTCCACATTGATATATAGGTTTAAACATAATTTCTATCAAAATCTCCGCAAGACGGTTCATAGATGCAGACAGACTTATTCTGAAATTTATATGGAAAGGGAAAGGAAGCAGAAGAGGTAAAACAATTTTGAAAACAAAAAATGAAATGGGAGGAATTACTCTATCTGACTTAAGACATACATAGCTGCAATAATCAAGACTGTGTCATTTGGTAAAAGGGTAGACACATAGATCAATGGAACACAATAGGGAACTCAGAAACAGGCCCCTCACAAGTATGGCCAAATGATTTTTTACAAAAATGCAAATGCAATTCAATGGAGAAAGAATAGTCTTTTCAAGAAATGGTGCTGGAGCAACTGGCTATCTATAGTGGGGGAAGAAAAAAAGAACCTTGACCTAAGCCTCACGTTGTATACAAAAATGAATTAAAAATGGTTCATGGACTCAAACATAAAACTCTAGAACTTTTAGAAAAAAAAAAAAAAAAAAAAAAAAAAAAAAAATAAAAAAAAAAAAAAAAAGAGAGAAAAAACTTTAGGATCAAGGACTTAGCGAAGTGTTCACAGATGTGACACCAAACACATGGTAAACTGGACTTCATCAAAATTCACACCTTTGCTCTGAGGAAAGCAAAAGTTTCTCCTCTGTTAGAAGGATGAAAAGACAAGCTACATAGGCTGGGAGAAAATATTTGCAAACCATATACCTGACAAGGCACTCATATCTGGAATACACACAGAACTTTCAAAACTCAACAGTAAAAAACCCAAACAGTCTAAGCAGAAAATGGGCCTAAGACCTGAAGAGGCATTCTATTAAAGAGGATATGCAAAAGCCAATTAAGGACATGAAAAGATGTCACGCATCACTAGCTGTTATGGAAATGCAAATTAAGAGCATGATGAGATATCACTGTATTCTTACAGAACAGCTAAAATAAAAATTAAAAATGACAACATCAATTTTTACAGACAACACTGTATTCTTACAGAACAGCTAAAATAAAAATTAAAAATGACAACACCAATTGCTGGTGAGGATGCAGAGAAACTATCTCATAGGTTACAGGTGGGAATGTAAAACAGTACAGTCACTCTAGATAAGAGTTTCACCGTTTTTTTTAGACACCAAACATATACTGACCAGAAGATCTAGCAATCACACTCCAAAGTTTTATCCCAGAGAAAGTAACAAGTATGTTTACCCAAAAACTTGTACACAAATATTTATAGCAGACTTATTTGTAACAGCCCCAAATTGGAAATAATAAGAATGTCCTTCAATATGTGAAGGCTAAACAAACAGTGGTACATCCATACGATGGAATCCTGCTCAGCAACAAAAACGAACAAGCCGACAGCCTAAATGGATCTCAAGGCATTATGCTGAGCCAAAGCAAAGCAAAGCAAACAAAAGCTCCAGTCTCAAAAGGCCACACACTGTACAATTTCATTTCTTTTTCTTTCTTTCTGAGACAGAGTCTTGCTCTGTTGCCCAGGCTGGAGTGAAAGAGCACGATCTTGGCTCACTGTAACCCCCACCTCCCAGTTCAAGTGATTCTCCTGCCTCAGCCTCCCAAGTAGCTGTGATTACAGGTGCCCATCATCACGCCCAGTTAATTTTTGCATCTTTAGTAGAGATGGGGTTTCACCATTTTGGCCAGGCTGGTCTCGAACTCCTGACCTCAAGTGATCCACCAGCCTCGGCCTCCCAAAGTGCTGGGATTACAGCCATGAGCCACCACGCCCGGTCATATAATTTCCTTTCTATAACATTCTCAGAATGACACAATTCTAGAGATGGAGCACAGATGAGTGATTGCCAGGGGTAGGGGTGGTGCAGAGAGAACGTATTGTGGCTATAAAGGCTACCAAAAGGGAGACCTTTGATGACGGAATAGTTTTATATTTTGATTGCAACACACAAATCTATTCATATACATGTGATCTATAAAATGGTACAGAACTACTGTCTCTCTCTCTCTCTCTCTCTCTCTCTCTCTCACACACACACACACACACACACACACACACAAACACACAGCACCTATGTCAATTTCCTGGATTTGATATTGTTATAGTCACACATAGTTTGTAACCATTGGAGGAAACTGGGTGAAAGGTAGGTGTGATCTCTATGGAACTTCCTGTGAATCTCTAATTTCAAAATAAAGAGTTAAAAAAAGTCTCTTGAGTAAGGTCTGAAAGAAATCTGCTTTTCACAGTTATGAAGAGATTCCACAGCATTTCTCTTTCCACTTCAATATTTTAACCCCCTTCCATATTTCGAAAGGCTCAGAGCCACTGGTTTCATTATTCTTCTCCTTCCTTCAATTTCCTCGGCTGTCAATGAGCTGAGGCTTTGGACCAAACCACAGCTAACTCAAAGAATGAAATGAAAGAATGCCCAGGCTAAGCCCAGGACTTGGAGGTCCAGGGCTTCCCTGGCCTCTGAGGGGCCCACAGCAGTCCCACGGGGTTTTGAAAGGGAGAGAGCCCTAGCCCAGAGCAGGCAAAGGCCAAAGCACCAGGTCTATGCCCACCTTCCGAACCACACATCAGGCTGCTGGGGAGATGACCACAGGTGTTAGGTAGGAGGTGGTACTCCACTCCAGAGGTGGGGCTCAGACGCCAGACCAGATTGAGGACCAGCTAAAACAGGGCCAAGGTGAAAGCAGTTTTCAATCAGACCTGCCCACCAGTGTGCCATGTCAATTTACTATTGCCATGGCAACACCTGGGAGTTGTCACCCCTTTCCACGGCACCCAATGATCCAAAAGTTATTATCCCTTCCCTGCATAAACCACCCCTTAATCTGCATGCCATTAAAAGTGAGTATAAGGTCAGGCACAGTGGCTCACACCTGTAATCCCAGCAGTTTGGGAGGCTGAGCAGGCAGATCACAAGGTCAGGAGTTCAAGACCAGCCTGGCCAACATGGTGAAATCCCATCTCTACTAAAGATACAAAAAATTAGCTGGGCATGGTGGCAAGCACCTGTAATCCCAGCTACTCAGGAGGCTGAGGCAGGAGAACTGCTTGAACCTGGGAGGTAGAGGTTGCAGTGAGCTGAGATCACGCCACTGCACTTCAGCCTGGGTGACGGGGTGAGACTCCGCCTTGGAAAATAAATGAATAAATAAAAATTAAAATTAAAATTAAAGTGAGTATAAATATGACTGCAAAACTGCCCTGAGCTGCTACTCTCTGCCTACGGGGTAGCCCGGCTCTGCGGGAGCAGTCACACAGCTGTCACACTGCCGCTTCAGTGAGGCTGTTTGCTTCTACTCCTGGCTTGCCCTTGAATTCTTTCCCAGGCAAAGCCAAGAACCCTCTCAGGATAAGCCCTACTTTGGGGCTCAGCTGCTCTGCATCGGGTGGGACATCAACAGATGTGTTCAGCAAAGGACAGCATCATGCTCTGCACAGCACTCAGCTTCACTCTTTATCCCAGGGAAATGGGGTACCCTTGGCAACTGGCTGTTGGTGGCACACAAAGGAAAGGTATGGCTGTTTGCTTAAGGCCATGTTGTACAAGAGATTGGTGTCCACATAATGCTAAGGTCTGTTGGAGAGGGAAGGAAGGGGCCAGGGAGGGGAAGGGAACAGGTGGGAAGACTTCTTACCTGTAAAACAAGGTCTGAATCTTCATGCCTTCCAATTGTGGTACTTTTATTTAGGACAAAAAAACCTTCTGCGCTCTTCAGATAGGCTTTCATTCTCTCTGTTTTCCCTACATAAGGTTTTCAGAAAGAATTTTGTTAGAAAAATTCAGTCCTCCAATTATTCAGCAAAGTCACACTTAGAATGAATGAAATAACCATTGAGTCATGTCCAAAGTGAGGAATTCGAAGAGCGGGGAGTCGATAGATGAGTCAACAATGAGAAGGACAGTTCTGCAGGGTTTTTTTTTTTTAATTTATTTTATTGCATTTTAGGTTTTGGGGTACATGTGAAGAACATGCAAGATTGTTGCATAGGAACACACGTGGCAGTGTGATTTGCTGCCTTCCTCCCCATCACCTACATCTGGCATCTCTCCCCTTGCTATCTCTCCCCAACTCCCCACCCCCCACCATCCCTCCCCTATTTCCCCCCAACTGACCCCAGTGTGTGGTGCTCCCCTCCCTGTGTCCATGTGTTTTCATTGTTCAACACCCGCCTATGAGTGAGAACATGTGGTGTTTGATTTTCTGCTCTTGTGTCAGTTTGCTGAGAATGATGGTTTCCAGGTTCACCCATGTCCTTACAAAGGACACAAACTCATCATTTTTGATGGCTGCATAATATTCCATGGTGTATATGTGCCACATTTTCCCTGTCCAGTCTGTCATCGATGGACATTTGGTCTACTATAAGGACATGTGCACACGAATGTTCATTGCAGCACTGTTTACAATTCTGCAGGTTTTTAAGATGATGTCTTCTAACCATGAAATCTGGCATAGGAAAGCCTGGTTCTAATCATCAAACAGAGGGCATTTCTTAAGTAACTCAGGACACAAACAAAAGCTAAATCAACCTGACAACAAATCTGAGTTCCACTGATAATTGCTCTCCACCACCCAGCAAGCTTAGTATGAGCTTAGTGATCTGACATACCAGAAATTCAAGTTCAGTGCTCCTAACCCATCCCTTACTAGCTCTGTGACCTTGGAGTTACTTATTCGCTCTCCATGACTCAGTTTCTTCATCTATAAAATGGGTATTATTTTTTTGAGACAGGGTCTCAATTTGTCTCAATCAGGGTCTCAATCTTGGCTCACTGAAGCCTCAATCTCCTGGGCTCAAGTAATCCTCCTGCCTCAGCCTCCCAAGTAGCTGACACTACAGGTGCATGCCACCACACCTGGCTAATTTTTTGTAGAGATGGAGTCTTGCTACGTTGCCCAGGCTAGTCTCAAACTCTTGAGCTCAAGCAGTCCTCCCACATTGACCTCCCAAAGTGCTGACATTACAGATGTGAGCCACCACACCAGCCTAAAATGGGTTTTGTGAGGATTAAATGCGGTAATACATGTGAGGTATCTAGAACAGTGCCTGGCACACACTGAACACTCATTTGTACTACTTGTATTAGTGTTGTTTAACCTGGGCTTGTCAAACTCTGATCCAAGGAAGCCTAAACTTCTATGGGGCTTATTTTATTCATTCATTCATATTTAGAGATGGGGTCTTGCTCTTTGCCCAGGCTGAGTGTAGTGGCACAATCATAGCTCACTGCAGCCTCAAACTCCTGGGCTCAAGTGATCCTCCTGTCTCAGCCTCCAGAGTAGCTAGGAATACATGCATGCCACCATGCCTGCTTTAGAGTTCCTTGAAGCGTTAGCATTGGAGAGGAAGGCATTCAATGATGTTTTTCTTTTGAAATCACTGTATGTCTTCAATTATTTAGTTAGGGGAAAAAAGATTATTTCTAAAGGCAAAACATCAAGATTATAGCTCAGCCATGTGGTCAGGACCCTGGACAGGATTTCCCCCAACATTTTACTATAAAAATGTCAAACATACCGAGAGGCTGAAAGAAGCAGATAGTGAGCTCCTATGTACTCACCACCGAGATTCTATAATCGGCATTTTGCCATATTTGCTTTATTACATATCTTTCCATCTAACCATGTGTCCATCTTACATTGTGGTGATTTCGAAATAAGTTCTGTACACATTCTTTTAAGACAGACACTTCAGTGTCTTTAGAAAGTGCTAAAATGTCAACAGTAATTCATTTCAATGCTTGAATCCGATTTGAGATTAGGTCCAAACATGCAGTGTGATGTCATATACCTCAATGCCTTGTCAAAGAAGAACAGTCTCTCTCTTTCCTATCAAGTGAAAAGTCACTGAAATGCCAAATTATTGGACTATGGATAAAAACAAAAATCAACTAGTTGTGATGGCACAGAATCTCAGGGCTGGTTCCGCCTGTCACCATCATCTCTGTCATCATTCATGAGTCCCTAATAAGTGCCAGGCACTCCTCCTTGAATATCCTCTTTTCACCCTCAGAGCAACCCTGCAAGGGTGTGATTATTGTCCTACTTTACAGATAAGGAGAGAATGAGCTGCAGAGAGGTTAAGGTCACCTAGCATTAGGTCAGGGAGAGAACGCTGAGCCCAGCCGTTCAGGCAGCTCACCTTTTCACACCTCCATCGCTGCTGGGTGGGGAGGGGATGGGTTGGAGGAGCAGACAGAGGGATTGAGTGGGGGAAGGGAGAGGTTGTCCTGTTTTGTTGACACTTGGGACATGAAATAACAGATAGCCCTTAACACCAGAATTCTATCCTCTGAAAAAGAGAAAAGACCCTACCTGGGAGTAAGAGAAATAAAAACAAGCCAGGTAGTTTATGTTTGTGAATTCCAAAGCCTATGAGAAACTCTCAGAAATATTAATACTTTCATATCAAGATAAATAATATTTTTAAGTCTGCTGTCTTTAATAGAGATAAAAAGACATTTCTTTTTCCAAAAGAACCACGCCCTATTGCCCTCAAATTGCCTGAGTTAATAATCTTCAGTTGAGGAGGACTACATTATCAAGTACCACATTCAAAACTCAAGTAAAACTGACCTAAAGTCAACTTTCGAGAAATGTCCCTTGCGAGAAAGCCACAGGAAATGCCACCAGAATAAAACCCCAAACCTGGATGATTGGCATTTTTTGTTTTTCAGCACTTCCCCAGATGTTCCCACAGCTGGTGCCTTGTGGTAGCTATCTGGCCACCCCAGCTAAAGGCGACTTCAGTCACTTCTTTGTCTAGCTAGCATGTGTCGCTGCTGTGGTGCCTTCCTTGAGCTTATCATTCTGTCATTTTCTTGTTCGTTACTTAGCTATGTGTTTACTGTTCCCCTTTCACTAAGATATACGTTCCAAGAGAGTCAGAACGGTGTAGCTTTTGTTAGTCAATTATCTATGGGTTTCTTGTGTTTTTACCCATCTTCAGAGCAAAGACACTGACAGATTTTGTTCCAAACAATCTTTCCAAGGACATCTGTAGGGCAAGCTTCCTGGGAGGATAGGGATAGTGTCCCTGTCAAGGGCAGAGTAGATATTTGTTTATGATAAAGATGTCATCTCTGGCTGAACATGGTGGCTCACACCTGTAATCCCAGCACCTTGGGAGGCCAAGGTGGGCGGATCACCTGAGGACTCAGGAATTCAAGACCAACCCGGCCAACACGGCAAAAGCCCATCTCTACTGAAAATACAAAAAGATTAGCCGGGCATAATGGCATATACCTGCAGTCCCAGCTACTCTGAAGGCTGAGACAGGAGGATGGCTTGAATCCGGGCGGCAGAGGTTGCAGTGAGCCGAGATTGTGCCACTGCACTTCAGGTCTCAATTAAAAAAAAAAAAAAAAAAAAGGCCGGGCGCGGTGGCTCACGCCTGTAATCCCAGCACTTTGGGAGGCTGAGGCGGGTGGATCACGAGGTCAAGAGATCGAGACCATCCTGGTCAACACGGTGAAACCCCGTCTCTGCTAAAAATACAAAAAATTAGCTGGGCATGGTGGTGCATGCCTGTAATCCCAGCTACTCAGGAGGCTGAGGCAGGAGAATTGCCTGAACCCAGGAGGCAGAGGTTGCGGTGAGCCGAGATCGCGCCATTGCACTCCAGCCTGGGTAACAAGAGTGAAACTCTGTCTCAAAAAAAAAAAAAAAAAAAAAAAAAAAAAAAAAAAAAAAAAAAAAAAAAAAAAAAAAAGAGAGAGAGATCATTTTTTTCCAGGGCAAAGGTTGGGCACTGGCTAGCAGCTCCTTTTAAAAGACTGGAGTTTCCTGAGCTTGGGGTTCCTTACTGGGAATCAGACTTGCAGTGTGCACAGCATCCGTCTGGGCTGCCCTGATCACCCCAGGGGTCTTGCAGGGCAAGCCGAACCAATGCAAACATGAAGCTCACAGTGCCTGCTGTGCTGAGTAATAACATCCTTTGTCTCTGGTCCTGGTGTCTCTAGTCTTCTGCTAGCATCATTAAGCAGTGGCAGACTCACTTAGCTTGCAAGTAGTGTAAAATCTCAGACCCTTTGCAGTTCCTCACAGTTCTGTTCATGATTCCAACTTCATTTTTCCTTTCAGTATTAATCCTAGATGACATTTTGAAAAAATTGTCTATTTCTTTAGCTGAATGTGTTGGACAATATTTCCCCACTTTAATTTTGCCCTGTGAAGTCACCTCCCTACCTGAAAACACTGTAGAAAGTGATTAGATGTGTTAAACTCTGTAAATTAGTTCTATGACATAGGGCACCGACCATGGAAAAGAGCAAAAGAGCTTCAATCATCTGCACTCCCTGCTCCCGGGTCATCACTGAGAGAGAGAAGCAACATGTCTATTGAGGGGGTTATCAGATCTTAAGTGGCCTGTGAGCCCTAGAAATACTTCAATATTTAGAAAGGGAGAGGGTTTTTTTGTGTGTTTTTTTTTGAGACGGAGTTTCGCTCTTGTTCGGCAAGGGGGTTCTCTCTGACCGCTGGGTGGGTGTCGTCCGTAAATCAGGGGCAGCAGGGGTGCCCCTCCTAACCCCAGCTGTACCCCCCAGGACTTCCCAGAGTGGCATGACTGGTGCCAAGGAGGGGTCTCAGGCTCCCGGGGTCTTCCTCCGCGGGAGGGGTGGGGGCTGCACCTGGAAAGGAGGGGTTGGTATTGGGGCAGCTACTGCGGTGCTCGTGGGGACCGGAGCCTGGATTCCGGAGGATGGGGCCAGGGAGTCACCCCTTCTCCTTCTCCCAGCTCTAGTCCTCATGGGGCCGCCCCTTCCGGCCCCCGGTCTCTGCCCACCGCCCCTTCGCGCGCGGCACTCACCTGGTCGGAGGAGGAAGCCCACGCTACGCCGTCCGCCGAGGGCCCTGCCAGCTCGGGAGGCGCCGGGCCCGCTCCGGGGCGAGGCCTCCCGGCCGCGCTCCCACGGAGTCTCCAGCCGGCACCCGGCACCCCGCGCGCCCGTCCGGCCTGTGTACGCGCGTCGCCATGGCAACGCCGCCGCGCGCTGAGGGGACCGGCCCAACAGGTGGGGGCGTGGCCTGCGCGGCAGAGGGGGCGTGGCCTGCGCGGCAGAGGGGGCGTGGGGCCGCGCCGAGGGCGCCCATCCGGGTTACCGCCTGCCGCGCGCTCCAGGCCTCACGAGACTGCCCCGTTTCACAATGGGGAGGCTCAGAGGTCACGGAAGTGGCCCAAGGCTTTACAGCGAGGAAAGAGCAGGGAGGAGATTTGATTCAAGAATCCTTTTCATTACCCCTCGCCGTAAGCTGAATGCGTTGAGGGAGGGTGAGGGGCGATAGGGAGAGGCAGGAGATTGATGGAGACCCTTGGAGGTTAGCATGCCCCCTGCCCTACCCAAATCTCCTCCTCTCCGTTACAGACCAGAAAATAGAAAGAGTAAGCCAGAGGGTTCCTCTGGGAGTGGGGTGGGGATTGGGAAAGGGATGGGGCGGAGCGAACAACTTTGAAAGAATGAGGATTTCTTCCATGTGCTGGGGAAACAAATATTTCCAAACTCACAATGCTGCTGCCCCTGCTCCTCCCTGTTAAGAGTGACAGTTATTCGTTCTTTTGCTCTTTCTCTATCTCTGCAAACATCTTCTGAGTCCTATGAATGTCACACGCTGGTCCCAGGATACACCTAGAACAGGTATTGTCCTTGAGAAGCCCCTTGCTGGTCGGCACAGGACTCAGGGGTTGGAGTGAGTGGAGAAGATGGGCAAATCCTGTCTCCCACCGCCGCCCACCTCCGCTTCGGGGCAGACCGGCCTTGCTGACTCTACCTAGAGGTGATTCCTTTCACTGGCAGGAAATGGCTGACCAAGTACCTCAAAAAAAACTCTAAGCGTTTTTGTAAGAGAGATGAACAGGGGCACACTCTAGCCTGGCGGTAAAGTTTGGCTGTGTGTCCCCACCCAAATCTCATCTCGAATTGCAATCCCCGTATGTTGGAGGAGGGGCCTGGTGGGAGGTGATTGAATCCTGGCGGCAGACTTCCCCCTTGCTTTTCTCTTGATAGCGAGTTCTCAAGGGATCTGATGATTTCAAAGTGTGGCAGTTCCCGCTTTGCTCTCTCTTTCTCTCTCCTGCGACACCATGTTCAACAATCCAGCTTCCTTGCTTCCCCTTGGCCTTCCGCCATGACTGTAAGTTTCCTGAGGTCTCCCTAGCAGTGCAGAACTGTTAGTCAGTTACACCTCTTTTCTTTATAAATTACTCAGTCTGAGGTAATTGCTTTATAGCAGTGTGAGAACAGACTAATACACCTAGTCAGTAGGAAGAGGATCTGAGAGAGAGAAATCGTAGACACTGATTTGGGGTGGAATACACGGTGAAGATGCTCAAACATGTCTGGAAGCTTTTAGAAATGCGGATTTCTAGGCGCAGACCCCAGAGATCCTGATTTAGCAGGCCTGGGGCATAATCCAGGAATGTGCATTTGCAGCAAGCTTGACAAAAACCCTGATTTATACAATTGAACTGCAGAGACCTCTCTTGGAGTCTGTCCCTAGAGACCTTTTCCAGGCCCTCAGTCTGGAAGGTTCTGCCTAGATCAGTTTTCTACAACCAGAAAGATTCTAGGCATAAAGTGCTAGGAGTGACCACAAGGGCTGGGAACCACGTGATGGCTTCACAGGAACAGAGAGGGTCAGGCCCCACTCCCCACACGTTTCTGCCTCAGAGCCTTCGTTCTTGCTGGTTCCTGTGCCCGGAATGCACTTCCTCCCAGGAATCTTCTTTGCCTTCTTTATTTTAGCTTTTTACTCATATATCATCTTTTCTAAAACTGTTTTTTTTTGAAAAAATAAAACCACCACCACCAAATAAACAGCAAAAAAGAACAAATAAAAACAACAAGAAAAACAAAAGCAAATAAAAACAAAACGGCCAGGCGTGGAGGCTCACACCTGTAATCCCAGCACTTTAGGAGGCCAAGGCAGGTGAATCGCGAGGTCAGGAGATTGAGACCATCCTGGCCAACATGGTGAAACCCCGTCTCTACTGAAAATACAAAAATTAGCTGGGTGTGGTGCTACATGCCTATAAACCCAGCTACTCAGGAGGCTGATGCCTGAGAATCGCGTCAATCCAGGAGGTGGAGGTTGCAGTGAGCCAAGATCGAGATCATGCCAGTGTGCTCCAGCCTGGGCGACAGAGCAAAACTGTCTCAAACAAAGAAACAAACAAACAAAAGAACAAGAGCACATCCAGACAAAATAAAAACCCAACACTCTATCCCTCTTCCTTTCTTTTTGCTGCCTGCCATAGTTGGGATATTTGACCCCTCCAGATCTCATGAGGAACTCTGATTCTCGGTGTTGGAGGTGGGGCCTGGTGGGAGGTGCTTGGGTCATGGGGGCGAATCCCTCATGGATGGCTTGGTGCTGTTCCTGTAGGTTGCGTGAATGCTTACTCTCAGTTTCCACAAGAGCTGATTGTTAGAAAGAGCCTGGCACCTCCGCCTTGCTTGCTCTCACTTCCTCTCTCATCATATGATCTCTGCACTTGCAGGCTCTACTTTCTGCCAGGAGTGGAAGCAGCCTGAGACCCTCCCCAGAAGCAGATGCTGGTGCCATGCTTCTTGTACAACCTGCAGAACCGTGAGCCAAATAAACCTCTTTTCTGGATAAATTACCCAGCCTCAGGTATTACTTTATAGCAACACGAATGGACTAAGATGCCACTTACCATCAACTCACGTACTATTTCTTTTCTTTATTTATGTTGTTTATTGTGTCTCCCTCCCTGATCCCTGGTGGACACTAAACGCCATGAAGGCAGGGATTTTTTTTTTCCTGTTTTGTTGGCTGCTATGCTACCAGTCCCCAGAACAATGTCTGAATGAATAAATATGCAGGGGGAAGGCCCTGCCACCCTTCTGAATTCTGGCCTCCTGTCCTCGCCCCAGGATGCCGGTTTCTCTAGTCCCCTGCCCAGGCCTGAACACCATCTCCACCCTTACTCCTATCGCTCCAAACTCTTGTCATTAACATGAACCCAGTGTTGGGAACCAGCCCAACCCTGTACGTGGTACCCGGAGTCCCCGCGGTGATGAGGGAGTGAGAAAAGAAGTAAGACAGACAAGAGTAGAAGTTCACAGTATGGGTCCGGGGGTCCAATGGTGACCCCTGTTGGCATTGAGCTCTGGGCTGGGTGGGGAGTGGGGGCAGAGCGGGGAGAGCGTGTGTCTTACAGCATTCAATAGCAAATGTGATTCTTCTAAGAAATTCTAACTAAGGACGCTGAGTTTTACCACCCATTGTCTATTCTATCCAGGTGCCTCTGCAAGAGAGGCACAGTAGATAATGCACCACAAGGTCTAAGCACACACAATGCATCAAGGGGCTTTTAACTCCTGAGCACTGCAGACCCAGAGCAATCAGAATTACTCCATATTCTGAGAACATAGGCAGAGCCTGTGGCATTGGTTATCACTGCCCTGCAAGACTTTCCTGTCCTGCGAGCTCCCATCTGCAAAGACCGTCCTGTGTCTTGTGAGCAGAGGTCGCATTCCCGCCCAGAGTTCCTGCACAAGCCCTCTTTACGAGCCCCTCATGCAGACCCTATGTTGGGAAGAGATCGTGGGACCAAAGCCGTCTTTGCCGCCTCCCAACCCCACCGCAGCGTTCGCGGTTTAAAGCGCTCTCAGACGGTCTTCACTAGAGGCCTCCTGTTACCACTTGATCTCTGCTTTTATTTTACTGCACCATAGTTTGGAGTTTTCTTAATTCACTATTTGATCCGGGGCACAAATCTCAGTGTATAAAAAGCAAAGCAAGCTTGTAATGATTTATGAGTAACACAGATCTGCCCCGGCCATCTTTTCCTACAACCCAGGACACAAACTTGCTCACTATCCAACAGACCCCAATGAAACCCAGGCCGGCCATGAGCTAAAATAGCCCATGACCCTCACCAGGCTTTAAGAGGTCATCTGTTGCTGTTAGTTAATATCTCAATGAAAAAAATAAAGCAGCAAAAACCTAAACTGAGAGCAAAGCTGGCACTCAGAATCAGTGAAGCCGAAGTTGCCAAATCTTAATTAAGGATGCTCTGTCCCTCAGGATGCCATTATCTCAAGGGGTGCAAAACTCTTGAAACCCAATTTCGTATCATCCATTTTCATTTTGTAAACAGAAAATCAAATACCCAATAACTTAGGGCTTTATGATATCATTTCCCGGGCTGGGTGGGAGAGTTGTACCTTGCAATTAAACAGTGATGAGACATTAAAAATACTGTCCCTGAAAAAAAACACAGAGGTGTTTCTAGATTATTTGTGCTT